TTGCAAAGACCCACTACTCTGGCATGGATTGTTACATAATTATTCCCCTTTACATACTTAGAAAATAGTAAAATATTTGTCACAATTTTGCATATAACATGTATAAGGTCTGCCTAAAACAATGATAGTACTGAAAGTATTCATTTTGAAACTTAGCTACTTTGAAAATCATAGATTTAGGTCAATCTAGCATGGATTCTTTCACTGACATTAAGTAAGTAAGTATTACAGTTTACAGTCAGAAAAAAAATCTATCTTCTTAAAAAATCAGTTTAGCCAAGATTGCCAATGCCATATAAATAAGGCCAACTTCAATTTAAAATAGATCATCGCATTATTGTGAAGTTAGTTGTGCCAGAGTGACGTAAAACTAAACAAAGCTGTGTGGTTTATCTAAAGACAGAACATGTTGATTTGATGAAAATTGTGATATTTTCATGCATAATTTTTACTATCTTAAACAGTCATCTTATATAATATTTGAACAATGCATTTGACAAAAGTCTGTCGTTAATTAATTTATCTTGTCATTATACGCAGGTATATAATTGGATGTTTGACAACTGTAATGTAGATTGAAATCTTTTCAATAATTGTTTTGAAATTTGACTACAAGAAATGTAAGAAAAGGGGAGATAACTCTTCAATAGATTATCATCGCCTCATGTATGTTATTAAGATATTTTATCAGGCAAAAAACAAGGAGATCTGTTTCTTGTCTCCCTGCTTTATGGTCTTTTAAACTGCCAATCCAAAACTGCCTTTATGCTTTTCTCAAAATATTTCCTTTCAAATTGCAATATTATACAATCTACAAATTGATGTGATTTATAGATACTTATTTAAACAAATTTTATGTGTAAATATGAGATCACAGATGTATAGCACTTAATCAAATGTAATCAATTAGCGTTCAATTTGTCAAAATAATTTAATTGCCATTTTATTAACTCATTGTAAAAAAGTATGTTATCAACACAACAAATGGCAAAAGAAGCACAAGATGGTTTGGGTAATTGGCCAATGACTATCTTTATAGCCAGTTAAAAGCCACTAAAAGCTTTTGAAAGATTCAAAGGGGGGTGTCCATAGCTGAGTGTTTAAGGTTGTTGTCTTCAAACCACTTGCCTCTCACTGCTGTGGGTTTGAATCCCAACAAGGACTTTGGATTCCTTCATGAACGGAAGCTATTTAGCCAGCTTACGGAACGTCGGAGGTTGTACTCAGGTGCTCCTTCTTGCCCGAAATAATGCACATATTAGCATGTGAGGTATCCTCCAGTACAGCTATTGTGTCGGTGTGACATAAAACCCAACCAAAAAATGAATAAAGGTTTTGAGGCTTAATGGGCCTTTAATATAATTTCATGCTAAGATGAGAGGTATTTTGTTTATAGCCTTCTTTGTTTTTAATTGACATGTTTATAAATGATATAAAGTTACCTTCTATAAATTTATTTAACAGCATTTTAAGTTTACACACTCAAAGATTGATTGTTTATTGTTTAAACACAAACACTTGTTGAGTTTTCACCTTGAAAAATTTCACAATCACATATTTGTTTACCTACATACTTAATTTACAAGCCCTAATAGTTTCTTTTGCTTTGTATAAAGGCTTAAAATTTTGGATAAGCAAATATCGAGCATGAAATTTCATTTTTGAAATTGGTAATTCATATTTTAAGGTATGATCTCTTTAACCTTAATAAAATATTGCCCAATATTTAACTTCTTACAATATTTAATTTCTTATGGGGCTAATGCTTAACCACGCTGGGATGGGTTATTTAAACTTTCAAGGCCAATGTAGGTTTTTAAAATATTCTGTGAGAGCAAGTTCTTTGGTCTCATTTGTAATGCTTTGAATATTTCATGTACTTTTGTTTAATTGGGTCAAGTTAATCCTGTAAAAGAAAAATATTTAAATTAAACCTTTCAAGGTCTGTTTTTACTGAGGTGTGTATTTTTGCAGCTTTTGTTTAATGGATTAATATTTGAATATGAAAAAAATGAGCAAAATTGTGCTTTAATTTTAGTACAAATTTTCAATTGAAATTTTATTGATAACGTTTTTATGTAGTGATGGATGGAGATCTTATAAATAGAAATGAGGCATTAAGATTTGTTTTGTATGGATACAAAATGTTTGATGTATAAAACTATTTGGATTTGTAAAGGTGGTAGAATGGTTGGAATGTATAATATATATGTAGAATTTTTTTAATGTATATTTTGTACTGACTGGTTATTGACTTTGTTAGGACCCTTACTCAATTATGAGTTTAAACAGATTTATTAAAGGGACTCCACTGAGCTTTTTTTTGACAAGGCGGGATTGTAAATAATTTTTCGTTAATTATGTTCCATTTGTGACCAGTAACTAGTGTGCAAAATTTCAAATCAAAATACGCTTGCTCCGTTTTTCAAGAATTATTATTCTAATTGTGAAAATAACCCAAAATTGAAATGAGTTGCAACACTTTTCACTCAAATAAAGTTAAGAATGGATTTTGAATATTTGATTATTTGCAAGCTTTTTTCTATGACTTGTAAATAACTCTTTATCATTCAAAGTTTTTGCTTCATGTATTTTAAAGTAACTACATTATATTTAAGTAACTCATTATACTTTAATAAGGTAAGGCAGTTATGCGTAAGTAATACTATTTTACAATTGACTAGTTCTGTCGGCAGAATTCTAAATCAATACAATTTCTACGGGCAATTTAAAGGTTTTTTTATGGACAATGAGAATAGCGATGTTAAATCAATTGTTTTCATCAAGAATTGGCGTTCTTTATCTCAATTAAAGGTACGGTTACTGTACAGTGTATATTAATTAATATGGTCAATAAATACCGATAGTTATTTAACCCTTTATTAACTGACTCTATTTGAGTAAGGGACATATTTTGTGTTGAATTAAAAATTTGCATTGTCAATTTTGGATTTGAAGTATTTTATTATAATAAAATGCGCATTATGCCTCAGAAACGATAATAAATTTTTCATTCTTTAGAAAGTTCAAACATATGATTTATAGTGTTTAAATAATGGTTTTTACAGCATTGTAAGATGCTTATCAACTGACAAAAAGTAGTGTTGAATGTGAAATTGCTTGTCATAAAAGTAGCAAAATGTAAACAAAGTAGTAATTTGACTTTTTGGCATTAGGATCATGACATTATTATCAGTCATTAAAATGGGCCAGAAGAAAAATCCCCACTGCAATCTGATCTTAGCTCTAAATTGAGGGATAAGGCAACTCACTTTTAGGGCTTAAAATTCAAAAAAAAAAAGGAAAGAAAGAAAAGAAAGAAATAAAATATTCTTGCATAAGACAAGGAGGTTTTTTTAATGGTATGATCAAAGTACAAGTACAAAGATCTGCTAAATGATAATGTTACATTTAATGGAACAAATTATGTCACATTTAATGGAAACATTATGTTGTGGTGGTTACCTGGTAATAATATTGCTCTACCAATCAATAACTTCTGACTTTGACATGTCAGGGTATGGTGAGGAAAAACATTTGAGCCGCGTCATGACAAAACCAACATAGTGCGTTTGCGACCAGCATGGATCCATGCTGTTCGCTATCAGAGTTTCTCTACTTGCTATAGGGTTTTTAAGGTGAACAGCATGGATCCTGATCAGACTGCAGGGATGCGCAAGCTGGTCTGGATCCATGCTGGTCGCAAACGCACTATATTGGTTTTGTCGTGACGCGGCTCATTTCTGCCATCTATATTTTATATGGTGATAATCAGCTGGTGTTGCATGCACTTAGTAATTACCAGTACTTCAAAGTTAGTCTATTTATCTACTGCAATAAAGTCAACTTTTTCATCCATAGCTTTAGCTTAATTCTTTATGGCATGTGGGTTAAAGTTTATAAGTACAAATTTAATGAGTTCTTTTTGGTTGATTAGCTTTTAAAATCAATTATTTTTATTTCAAATACAATATACAGTTAGATGAAAGTCGGTCTCTGAAAAATAAATTTTTAAAAGAAAGAGAAAAAGTTATTATTTATTTATTTCATTTTGTCAGCAAAATGATAAATTTCATATTTATATATTAAAATCATAATGTCATTTTGTTTTTGTTCATTTATTTAGAAAAGACTATTGCATGGTATGAATTTGATGGTAACTCCAATATACATTTGTAGTGATGACTTTTTATATCACTTGGTAATATTTGTGTTATGTGCTTGTCTGTCTATCCATCCATCCATTAGCCACATCTTTGTCCACTCAATAACTTGAGTCTCCTATCTTCATACAATGTAGGAAGGATAATCATGGCCAGCTGATGATCTAATTTTAATAGGTCAGAGGTCAAGGTCATAGTGAAACTTATTGGAAAAATCCATGTCTGCACAATAACTTAAGAAAAATATTTCTAGATTTATGAATATTCAAACTTTATCTTGGCATTGCTCATGGCCAGTAGACGATCCTAATTGATTATCAAGTCATTAGGTCATAGGTCAAGGTCACATTGGCACTTGAAATAGTTTATAACCCTTTCTAATAATCAATTATCTGAGAAAGAATTAGTGAAAGTTTGTGAAACTTGTTAGTAACATTGTCCATAGACTGTTGGTGACCTCTATATATTGTTAGATCAAAGGTCAAGGTCATTGTAACACTAAGTGTAAAATCTTTGTCAAGAGCTAGACATAGGTTTGTAAAATGTTGGTCCGAGTAGCGACAGGGACTTTAGATTCTTTCTTGTGAGGAAAGTATTCAGCTGGCTTACAGAACATTGGTAGTTCTACTCAGGTGCCCGTTTGTATGTGAGGTCTTCCTTCACCAGTAAAGCTTAAAAGTCACCATATGACCTATACTGTGTTGGTGCGACATAAAACCAAAACAAGCAAAAAATCTTATGACAGCATAAATAAGTAGTAGATTCTATAATGCTTTAACATGCAGAGCTCTTGTTACATGTACTTTTATGTACTTTTAATTTTCTTACTATTTTCAGACAGGGCTAAGAACAGATGGTAGAACATAAGTATGCAATGACGTTATTGAAGGTATTTGATTTGAAAAGCATTTGGTGAGCTATAAAGAAATGGACTTATCCAACCTTCCTCCACTCCAAGGGCAAATTGCGAAGGCTCGGAGTTCTGTGGAATTCCATGACATAGGTGCAGGAATATCTGGGTATCTTTATGACAGAGACAATCACCAGGATGAAGATCCGTGCCAGGTTAAATCATTCAATGAGAATGATGGGGAAGAAGCTGTTAAATGCCTGCGGAGATGCTTTCAGGTAAACAAAGTTTATATGTTTGTAGCGGCTTTTTGGCCAGCAGATAATTTTTACCATTCCAGTTGCTGCCTGAAACGGCTATATACTGTTGGCTGACTATAACTTCGAATTTTAATCTTGATGCGCCAAAAATTGATTGTAAATAGTTCCATAAATATAAGCTGGACTTCTTAGAAATTCCGCAAATTACATGCCAAGATATACTTTACTTTGAGATAAAGCCTCGAGAATTAATCAAATTTTCTTCATGAACACTTCAGTGATGTTTGAATGAATGTTCAATATTATCTACAAAGGTAGATGCAATTGTTGTTAAGTAGACAATCAGAATTTATTGCTGCAAACTTCTTATCAGAAATTTTTGATCTAAAATTTTTATATTCGCACCATCCAAAGTCGTAAACATAAATGCAAACTCCACAGCAGCTTGTACTGTTCCAGACTTAATAAACACCTGTTTTATGTCAAAAATGTATAAGATCCAAGGAAAATTTAGGACCACCCTTGTTTCTATTAGATCTACATCAGTTGCTAAATTCTAAAAAAATCAGTTATTATCTAAATATAGGCCAAAACAAGAAATGTAAGATTATGGTGATCACACAGACTTTTTTTTTTTTCATAATGAACAAGAGTACCTTCTATATTATAAAGAAAAATTATTCAAAATAGAAAAATCAAAGGGACTTGTAAAATTACCTGAAAAGGTCAATGTAGTAATTATATGTCAAGGTCATGTGAATTTGAATTCATTGACAGTTTATTTTTGAAGCAGTTAGAGAATATAGTCAGATAAATAAGCAGACAGGCCTTTATGTTAATGACCTGATATTGCTAGCTATCTATGCATCATTTAGATTTGCCCTTGTCCGTAGAATGACAAAAGAGTGGAAAATGGGAGGGGGGGGGGGGGGGGCATCTGTGCCTGATAGGTGTTGTACAATTTATTTATGGTTTTTAACAGAAACATGTTTTTTGGCCATTTATTAGATTAGATTAAATATTTCCAAAAATTGTTTGTCTTGTTTGTTTGGCTGGAAAAGACTTGTTTGAACAATTTCATGGCCTTGTTTTAAGATTAGATTGAAAATTTCCAGCATACATATTTTGTATCTCAACACTTTGATAACACTGTTGTTCTATATAATGTTATGAAACAGTATGATTGATGCAATTTGATTTCTGGTTACCAAGGAAACAGAATGTAGCATTGTCGCTCATAGACAGACAATTACTGGGTGGGTTTATTTACCAATAAATAGGTTTTTCCCAGAATATTGTTCTTATTTTTTTTCTTACTTTTTTTCGTCTGGAATAATCTTGATTGTTATGGAATGAAATAAATATTTGAGAACATTAATTTGATGGATTGCATCCTCATTATATATTGTAAATTGAATTATTTTATTTGGCAATTGTGTTTTCATTTTTGACTGAATTAGGAAATGGGTTATCACTGTGCTTGATTTCTGTTTTAGAAAATAAACGTTATTTTGAATATTGGAATCAATTCACTAAAAAAAAATGGTGGTCTAAAAAAATTGATCTGAACATTGGAAAAATTAGTGGATTTACTTTTAATGAAATATATGTTTAAATTACAATGTATAATAATTTGTTCCTATAGAAATGTCTTAAAATCTGAAATTTTAACTGTCAACCTATTCTATTACATGAGAATGTATCTTAATTTGTCTAGACTGTGATATAATGTAGAAACAGTTGAGATTCCTTAAAGTGTCCACTTAGATTGATAAAACATGCATAGAGATTCTTTTCACTGTTCCAAATCTCTATTCTATAAGTAAAACCTTTCTTCTTTAAGATATACTGTGCTCATTCTTGAGTAAAACACTTAATCACAGAAATTTATTGAAATATATTAAATTCTTACTGAATATGTCTAATTAAGTAAAAGAATGAATAACTATGTATGGGAAGCTGTGTTCCCTATTAGGGGAAAGTAAAGTTGGTCCTTTCTTAACATGCACTGGTTTAGCAATAAATTTAAGGAATTAATGCAGACTTAAAAAGCACTAAATTATAATTAGGACTTAAAAAGCACTTAATTAAAATTATACAATGTATTTTGAATCTTTACACCATTGGGAGTACATGTATAACGGATACACTGTTTTAAAAGATAGTTGGTCCTGATGAAATAAAATAAATGTACCGAACTAGATTCAACAAATTTAAAAATGGAATCATTTCGTTGGACAAAATATAGTTTAAACCCCAATGGTATAAAATAGAGGCTCTAATGATGTTTTATAAATATATATTTGATGAATATGGTACAAAATATTAATTCAAAATATGATATAAAATTTTAAATGACATCCATAGGGAAATTATTTATGTTTTTGATTCTAAAGAAAAATTTAAAAAAGTTAGTTGTTCAGTGGATGTGTGTGGTTTTGACGTAAGGAAAAATCAAATATTTTTGAGAGCTGGGAGGTGATAGGGAAAATTTTTTAGAAAAAAAAATTTTATTTAATTTGGAGCCTAATTTTGAGGATTCGCCCTCCCCATATCAAATTTGATTCTTTAAGTGCGGTCTCATTATCCCACTGAGCCGGGACCCCCCCGGTAAGTTACTGGGATGATCCGGGACGATCTGGGGTGAAAGTATTGTTGCAGTCACATTAACCACTAGTTACTACGATAATTCTCAACTTACCACCAAGGAAGTGTTCCCGATCATCCAGGCAGAGCCCAGGTGAAGATACTGTTCATGCCGGTGGTTTCCGGATGAAGACGGAAGAGCCACTGTAGATCCAGGCAGAGCTTCGGTAGAATTCCGGCGGATTGAAAACAGGCGAAAATGATTACATTGATACATAATTTTTTGTTATGCTCCCCGAAGGATGAGCATATAGTCGCTGCTATGTCAGTCCGTCCTTTCGTCTGTCCATCCGCTTTTCTTGTCCGGGACATAACTTTGTAAAAACAAGAGGTATCAACATGAAACTTTGTAGGTAGATAGATCTCATTGAGTAGGTGTGCAGTGCACAAGAACCGTAACTTTGCCTTGCATAATTTTTTAATTATTGCCCTTTGCTTATTTTTACACTTTGAACTTTGTCCGGGACATAACTCTAACATGAAACTCTGTAGGTAGATATATATCATTGAGTAGAAGTGCATTGTTAAAGAACCTAAACATAGCCTTGTCTAATTTTGAAGTTATTGCCCTTTGTTCATTTTTACACTTTGAATTTTACCCGGGACATAACTCTGAAACTATAAGAGATATCATCACGAAACTTTATAGATAGATAGATCTCATGGAATATAAAGTGCAGTGCAAAAAAACATAACTCTGCCTTGCCTAATTTTGGATTTTTTGCCCTTTTTCATTTTTTAGCTCGACTATTCGATAAGAATAAGTAGAGCTATTGCAGTCACCCGAGCGTCGGCGTCGGCGTCGGCGTAACCACTTATGTTAAAGTTTTTGTAATAGTTCAAATATTTTCAAAGTCCATTGACATATGGCTTTGAAACTTTGCACACTTGTTCACCATCATGACCCCAACCTGTAGACAGGAGGAGGTAACTCTATCAATCATTTTGACAGAATTATGCCCCTTTTTCGACTTAGAATTTACGTTAAAGTTTTTGTAATAGTTCAAATATTTTCAAAGTCCATTGACATATGGCTTTGAAACTTTGCACACTTGTTCACCATCATGACCCCAACCTGTAGACAGGAGGAGGTAACTCTATCAAGCATTTTGACAGAATTATGCCCCTTTTTCGACTTAGAATTTACGTTAAAGTTTTTGTAATAGTTCAAATATTTTCAAAGTCCATTGACATATGGCTTTGAAACTTTGCACACTTGTTCACCATCATGACCCCAACCTGTAGACAGGAGGAGGTAACTCTATCAAGTATTTTGACAGAATTATGCCCCTTTTTCGACTTAGAATTTATGTTAAAGTTTTTGTAATAGTTCAAATATTTTCAAAGTCCATTGACATATGGCTTTGAAACTTTGCACACTTGTTCACCATCTAGACCCCAACCTGTAGACAGGAGGAGGTAACTCTATCAAGTATTTTGACAGAATTATGCCCCTTTTTCGACTTAGAATTTACGTTAAAGTTTTGTAATAGTTCAATATTTTCAAAGTCCATAGACATATGGCTTTGAAACTTTGCACACTTGTTCAACATCATGACCCCAACCTGTAGACAGCAGGAGGTAACTCTATTAAGCATTTTGACAGAATTATGCCCCTTTTTCGACTTAGAATTTACGTTAAAGTTTTTGTAATAGTTCAAATATTTTCAAAGTCCATTGACATATGGCTTTGAAACTTTGCACGCTTGTTCAACATCATGACCCCAACCTGTAAACAGGAGGAGGTAACTCTATCAAGCATTTTGACAGAATTATGCCCCTTTTTCGACTTAGAATTTACGTTAAAGTTTTTGTAATAGTTCAAATATTTTCAAAGTCCATTGACATATGGCTTTGAAACTTTGCACACTTGTTCACCATCATGACCCCAACCTGTAAACAGGAGGAGGTAACTGTATCAGGCATTTTTTTTACTATCAAGCACTAAGAATAGTCGAGCATGCTGTCCTACCGACAGCTCTTGTTATACTTTCCTGTGTCCAAAACCTTCTCAGGGAGCATCACCCCGTTCACAGTGTTCTTGTGAAAAAAATTAATTTCAATTCAATTTAACATGCATGGTTCATAGCAGAGGCTATCTGTAGGGACAGATTTCTGTCTTTTAGCTGATTAAGTCAGATGCTGTTAAGTTATGGTTCTGGTAAGGAAGAGCACGAGGCATTTTAGGGCAAAATATTAGCATTTTTAGGGGAAAATATACCTATTTTGGGCTAGGGGAAACAGCCTTTATTCGCCTGTAAAATACAGTGAAAAAAATCACTGGTATCTACAATGTATCATCCTGTGGTCATATTATATAAATGACAATACCAAAGCATTTTAGAGACTTAAAGTTTTATAACCCATCAAACAATTATTTTCAGGGGTGTCTTAGTTTAAATTCATGTGCAGACCATATTCTAGGTGGGTATAGGGGCAAACTCTTATCCCTCTTTTTTCTTGGATTGCTTGTTCTTCCCTGGCTCAATACAGGTGGCAAAGGCTGATTACTTTCAGTTCTTACAGGTTAAAGTTCAAATAAATAACTTATATTTTCTTTAATACATTTTGTGTACTTTATTTTGTATACTTCATAGTTTTCAAATACGCAAATTATTTTTGGAGAGCATAATTCCTTTGGTCTGTCTGTTAAGAAGTCTCACTTTGTTTATTTGTCACAAACATTGACCTTTAATTTAACAAAGTCCTTCCATCAAGAGCATCTAAACATCAAAGGTACATGCACTTTGATGAGCTCTCCTGGCCAGATCCTTATGTATAAGCACAATATATGCACAAAACACCAAATTAACCTTGGTCATAACATTTTAGTGCTTCATGTCAAAAGCCTCCAAATTTAACTGCATTTACTATCTGTTATTCCACAAATACTGGATGTTGGTTGTTCCTACTTGTTACTTTTTGTGCTTTCAGATTTCCTAAAGCAAATGAAGATAACCTTTTGCTCTTTTTTATATTCTTTGGTTTATTATTCTGTTCTTAAAAACAGGCTACGCCACTATAAAATATATAATAACATGAAGTACACCAGCTCTCAATTGGGAACAGTTGCAGGGTGCCCGTTTGACCCTTGAAATGACTCTTTGACCCTTCAAACTCCAAAAGGCCTGATTTGACCCTCAGGCCCCATGTTCACTAAGAAAAGATCAGGATAAGGATCAAGTGATCCTGGTTTTATTTTCTTTGTTTTATATAACTAATATTGATGATGGTAATTTGCAAGAATTAAATGGTATATTTTCAAAATGAAAACAATTGCTGTTTTGCAAAGAAACAAACCTATTTTGGGATAAAATTGATGAATAACAAAACAAATACAAAAATAATCAGATCAAAATAAGAATCAATTTAAGGATCAAGATAAATATTTGGATCACCTGTAAAATGCCCATATCTTGCAAAAATAACAATAAATTTATTCTAAAATTTAATAAACATGCTATTTCAAGTCCAGTTTTATCATGTTAATATTAAATATTATTCTATTAGGATTAACAATGGAGAATATTTGAGTTTTTAGATTTGATCCTGATCTTGATCCTGATCCTTAAATCTTTGTGAACACGGGGCCAGGATTTTAACAGGAGGGACAAGTCTTGTTAAAATCACGGGGATTTGACCTTGAAGTCGGTAAAACTTAGTCAAAATGACCCTCAGGATTTCATGGCTATTGTTTATTCAAGTTTAATCATAATTACTAAACTGACATTTAGGAAATGGTAACTTACTAATATCTTGTATTGACTATCTGATAGAATTTAAATAATGGCATCTTTCAACATCATTTGCTGTTCCCTGACCAATTGGGAAGCCACACTCTACATAAAATATATTTATAAATTTGGAGCGATTTAGAAAATTAAGATAAGATTCTCGAGTAATCAGATTTCACTTACATTTATTAGCCAATCAAAATTGGTCAGGAATCCCAATGATCCTTAAATGAGTACAAAGTGAACATACAAAATTTGATTTAATCAATTTGTTGAAAATTAACAGTAATGGTAACAAATTAAAATGAATAGCAACAATTATGGTAAATTGACAGGATTTATTTACAGGTACTCAAGTCAACTACATAAATTAACGAAGAAATAGTACCATCTTCTTTTACAAAACTAAACCATTAAAGTTAATTTCTTCAACATTTGTTGATACAGATTGCAAATACATATTATGCAGTAAAGCTTTAAATATGCTTCAATTATTTAAAGTACGAAAATATGGATATTATTATGTATTAACCTTTAACATAGCAGCTTCGAAAAACATATGAGGAAAATTTAAGGAATAAAGATATTTGTAAAAATGAGTTCAATAGATGATGATAAATGAGAAATTACTGATTATATCATGTGAAGATAATGAATACTACCAAAATGATGAGAATCAGACACATTAATACAAAAGTGAAGTTATTATCTTACTTTGAAATATCAACAAACAGTCATGGAAACCAGACTAATGAGACTATGAAATATCAACAATCAGACATGAAAACCAGGCTATGAAATATTAACAATCAGACATGATAACCAGACTATGAAATATCAACAATCAGCCATGAAAACCAGGCTATGAAATATTAACAATCAGACATGATAACCAGACTATGAAATATCAACAATCAGCCATGAAAACCAGGCTATGAAATATTAACAATCAGACATGATAACCAGACTATGAAATATCAACAATCAGCCATGAAAACCAGACTATGAAATATCAACAATCAGACATGAAAACCAGACTATGAAATATCAACAATCAGACATGAAAACCAGACTATGAAATATCAACAATCAGACATGAAAACCAGACTATGAAATATCAACAATCAGACATGAAAACCAGACTATATGAAATATCAACAATCAGACATGAAAACCAGACTATATGAAATATCAACAATCAGACATGAAAACCAGACTATGAAATATCAACAATCAGACATGAAAACCAGACTATGAAATATCAACAATCAGACATGAAAACCAGACTATGAAATATCAACAATCAGACATGAAAACCAGACTATGAAATATCAACAATCAGACATGAAAACCAGACTATATCAAATATCAACAATCAGACATGAAAACCAGACTATATCAACAATCAAACATGAAAACCAGACTATGAAATATCACAATCAAACATGAAAACCAGACTATATCAAATATCAACAATCAGACATGAAAACCAGACTATGAAATATCAACAATCAGACATGAAAACCAGACTATGAAATATCAACAATCAGACATGAAAACCAGACTATATGACAGTTTGCTTTATCTCTTTCATATATGGAATTATGGATGACATACACATATGTATCAAAAAGTGTTTCTTATGACAAGAAATTTGCTATTTGAAAAAATATAACATGATGTTGAGCGGGAATGTTGGTGTCACAATCTAGCTTGTAGCTACCACCCATTTGTCTCACTGTCTTGCTTTAGTCATTTCCACATATTTTGCATACCTTTTATCTCCTTGTATTTATCAGTACAGATAGGAGTATGGTGATATGAATCTTTGCAGCATTGTTTCTTCCCCTTATATTGAGTGACATCAAATAACACTGTAAAGCGTCTCCAGCTCTACCTTCTTGTTCCATACATTTTCCGAGAAGATTTAGAGCTGTTTCCCGATGTCCAAGGTGTTGTTCCTCTTTTATGGTTCTGATAAGTTTGAAGAGCGCAGCTTGTTTCAGGTCATGTCTTCCAAGATGGCTGTAAACTTTGTATTGTAGAAAGTAGAGGTAAGGGAGGGAATCCACCACAGCACAATCCATCCATTCGTTGTCTTCTTCTGTACGAAATATTCTGTCCTCTTGTGTAGATCTAAACATTTCATATCTGAGTTCAGTGGGTACACAGTGAATTTCACATTGCCGATGTCTAACACATGATGCTGTTGTATACTGTAAGATTTCTTCATTATGATTGTCACATAATTCAAAGAATCCTTGTCTTACTGATTCTTTCTCAAATTGATAACAACTACAGACAGGCTCAACAATTTGTAGATCATATCTTCTTTCAATCTCACTGAGTACTGAGTCAGCTTTTTGTATTTCTTGAACACAGTATAAGATTGAAGCTAGTTTCAGTTTACTTGATGCAACATCTGTATTCAGACCAAGTGAGATGAGTTTGAGGGCATCTGCTGATACAGTGTTGTAATGATAGATGTTTAGTGAAGCCAGGACAGATCCAAGTGTTGTACAATACCATGGTAACAGAAGATGACTGGCTGTCTTATCTAATCCTTCATATTGATAGTTGATTGTCTTCGATACATAGTTCTTTAATATTTCTACAGCTTCATTAGGACTAATGTCCTTAAGATTATTATTAAATGCTTTCTGCTTCCTATATATATATACAGCTAGGTTCCTGAAATAATGTCACTTGTCTTGATTGTACATAAGTTATTAAACTTAAGATGAAGCCTTGAACCAAGAGCATCACATTTAATCCCAAGTAGTACCACTCCTTCACTGTTGATGATATTGCTTAATATTTCCAGGATATATGGTTTGACTGCAGGTGAAATTTTCCCCCTCATTAAATTGTTCCCAGGTATGATAAAATGTGGACAATTTTCATTAATGATATTGTTGTACAGGAGATATAAACACAGTGATAGACAAGAAAGTAAGTTATTTTCTCTCCAGATGTTAGAATGTGTATTGGAAATACAGTTGAAGAGTACAGTTTTACACATAAAACTTGTAATAACATCTTTAAACAGTGGATTTGTAAATGTTTTTAAAATAATTTTCATCAAGACATAACAGCGAATCTGTGTAATATTCAGGTTGAACATTAAACACCTTTCTGCTAAAGATGTTGATATTCTCCATTCAAGTTGCTCATGTTCACTGCCACTACATCCAACAGCAACAACAAAGCATCCAGTTCTGCTGCAGTATTGTTTCATTTCAGCAGATGGCCATTGACCTTCACCTTGTTGATTCAACCATTGTCTAGCTTGTTGTGGCCATTTTGTACAACGTATTGCAAACACAGAATCTTTATCACAGTAGCCTGGTTGTCCTTGTATAACACCTGCGGGCCCATGTATTTCACGGTTTATATTAAATGCAGATACTATAAAATGCTTTAAAAGTAATTTTCCTGTTCTGTCTTTGAAAAAGAATTGATCAGATTCACCATCAAGAGGAAGAGGAGCATCTTTTCTCAGCAATTGAAGTAAACAATATCCAGGAGATACAGAATTATCTTGAATCATCAATAGATTATATAAACCAGGTATCCAGTCACTCCAGTCTTGTATCACAGGGAATGCTTTACTGCAAATTAGTTGATCTAGGTCTGATTGCATTCCTGTTGTAGTTGTACCTTCTGATTGACTCCCAAAAACGTATACTGAAGCATTTCTATTATCAAGTAGTTGGTTAGTTATATTTGCTATTGATTCTGTCAGAAGCAATGTTCTTCTCCTCTTCATCACTATTCTCTCATCAACACCTATATCAGCCAGAACCTCTGATAGCTTCATTGACACAGTCTGGTTGTAATCTGGTACTTGATACATTCTGAAAATATCATATTGATGTCATTAATGTTTTAAAATATTATTAAGTTTCTGAAATATGTAATTTCTTTACTTTTTTGCTGATTTTCCATTTAAGATCACCACAATCAGATTTTTTTATTGTTAAATGGATAAATTTTCCTTTATAGAATTTTTTATACAAATATTTATCTATTAAGTTTAGTTGTTTTATAAGCAGTGTATAATAATATGTTTAACATGTTTTTTAACATGATTTTTGTTTATCAAGTGATTGTAGAACAGAGTTATCTTCTTATAATTAAAAGAGAAAGAGGAAGTAAAATCATTTCAGAAAACCAAAGATCCTAGATACTAACATTTGAAAAAATTCTCAAAATTTTGTTTCGCTTTAAAATAGTGACCTCATGATCTTTAATCTTCTGCAGATATAAACAAAAAAGTAAAACTTTGTAAACTTTTAATGAATACAGACTTAATACTCCTGACTTAAATTAAAATTGATTTCAAAACGAAGTCAAAATGTTTTATTTTTATTTTTAATTACATTGATTTTAACACCTCCCTTTGATGATGAAAACTGATTGACACAAGATATTTGTACAAGATAAAATAAAGGTCAAATTCACACTTAAAGGTCAAATGTTAAAAAATCTTCATTTCATAGTAACAAGTCTACATTTTGTGTCTGTTCCATAACTTTAACCGCTGTTAATATTTTTTGAGTGCTGATTATTATCCTTCAGTTGGTATTGTTTCTTATAGATGCAGTTGAAATATGGTCGCAAATTCAAAATTGAACATGGCATATAATCTTTAATCAAATACAAAACTTTTACCTCTTTTTGAAATAAATTTTAATGAAACTTGTCAGTAGTATACAATAATCATTAAATTATTACCTGTTTGTTTATATCTGCAGAAGATTAAAGATCATGAAGTCACTAGATTTTCAATATTTAAAAAGCAAAACAAAACACTTCAGGAATTTCCCAGTTGCTAACAACAATTAGAGTATTGTTATTTTTAACTTCCTCTTATGAAGATAACTCTGTTCCCGGGTGTAGATTTTCCAAGGTTTTTGGCTCAAAATCCTTGGAAAAAAACCTCGGAGTATTGGAACAAGAAAATGCAAAACTTTGCTATTAAAAAAACCTTGGAAAAATAGGGAGAGGGTGAAAAACCTTGTAAAAAATTTCCGAGTTTTTTTTTAAAAAAACCTCATAAAAAGTATGACCTCGGAGTATTGGAACGATTTCCAAGGATTTCAGAATAAAAACCTCGTAAAATAATTTCCGAGGATTTTGTTTAGAAAACCTTGGAAAATGAGTGACCTCGGAGTATTGGAACGATTTCCAAGGATTTTTAAAGTGTTTCCGTGGTTTGTTTTCCAAGGTTTTTAAATGAAAACCTCGGAAAGTTTCTCACAACTGGGAATACTGTTATATTTTTGAGGATTCTTACTTAAGGGCATCAGAGAATTTTCCAAGGTTTATTTGAGCAAAAACCTTGGAAATTTCTAGAATATCCATGGAAAATCAGAAAATATAACATCCAATGAAATATTCTGAAAAGAGCAATTATATTGTCCTTTTAAGGAATTAAGAAACTTCTTTGTAATAATACAGAGCAAAAAATGATCACATGACTCACTGAAACATTTAATGTCAGCGTGAAGTAAATAGTAATGCACTACAAATGAAAAGTTAAGTTAGAAGTCTTTAATGGTAAATATTACACTCAATGTTCAGTTATAATATTTTGGTATCCGGTTAAATTTTAATGTATTCAAATATCTATCTTTTGAATTCCTGTTCACTCTTCATGATTTTTAAATGTCCCTTAGTTTTTCCCTCACAATCACAGGGGTCACATGTGGAAAAATGCTCCAGGATACAATTCCTGAAATAAATAAAGTAAACATTTAATAAAGTACAGCCATTGAAAGAAGTTAGAAAAACAATTATATAAAATCACCACTGGGCGCTTCCCTCTCCATTGGGCGCTTCCCTCTCCATGTGGTCAGGATCAAAGACTTCAAACTACTTGCCTTACAACATTGTATTTTTGACTCCTGAAGCCAGGATGGGCTTCTTCCCTCTGAGGGAGCTACATGTATCCAGCCCAGGATTAAGGAACACCTGTGGTTATACTCAGGACAGTTCAGTATGTGTAGGCAATCAGAATTACATCATCTAATTTCTTTTTTATTAATCAATAAAAAAAAATGATACATTCCTTAAACGTTTCCATAGACAAAAATATCAGTTCACTGTTGATATATATTGTTTTAAAAAATCAGCACTTTTGTGAAAAGAAATACATCTTTTGAGTGATCCAAAACTACTTGAATTACAAGTTGTTCAAGACCATAGATTAAAATGAAGGCTTTAATATTTTCAAATGACCTTTTCTGTAGTTACCTTTAAATATTGGTCTACTGTTTTGAAATAGTGAATTTAATTTTTTTCATGTTGATTTCTTATTTTTCTTCATCAGTATTTAGTGTCAAGATTTCAAGAAAACTTTGGTAAGCAGTGTGACAATTCTGCGATGTTAAGAAAAGAAACGATGTCTGTTACTATTATTTTAGATTATGTCATACTGGATGTTACAACCTAAAGCACTCTAAAAATATTGCAAAAAAATAACGCTTTTCATAAGGTGATTCAGATTGCCTACAGTAATTGTATCATTCTGCTCAATTTAGTGACATCTGCACCAATAAAGCTGTAGAGTCATCATGTAACATTAACAGCATTTCCAACAAAGTATCAATAAAAAAATCAGTTCCAGAAACCTTAAAATTAATTCATTCAAATTTCAAATTGAAAATTTCAAAACCTAGTTTTAAAACAAAAACATACTGTATCCTTAATCGATGCCTGGATGCCAATGATATACTATGATAAAACACAGCAAAGCTGGATTGCCATCTTCTTGTAGTTTGGAACAGTCTTGCAAACTTGCTTACAAGCTGACTCTGTAATTAAAAATTTGTAGATTCAAATAATAGATGAAAGATGAAAGTTTATAAATAATGTCATCATAGTTTCATGCACTCATCTTGTTCAATACATTTATAGACAAAAATAACATTAATACTCTTAAAATATCCTCTAAACAATTGTATTTAAACTAGCTTACATTTAGGTTAAAAATATAGATCTAAAATAGTTTGTATTTAATACTTATTTGAAAAAAAAAAACAACAACAGATTTTATGCATAAATGTATCTAAAATTATTTACCTGAACCTTTTTACTATCATGTTTCTTTTGTTTATCTTCCTGTCCCAGGTCATTGATCTTTAGGTTCAATTACAACAACCAAACATTTCCTGAATCTTGTCACACTTAGATAAATGTTTTCTTTGAAAATTCCAAAATATGCTCCCTAACATTTAAAACAAGATATATATGTCCAAAATTGCTTAAAATAAATCCAGGTTTGCACTACTTCCAACTATATATATAACCACTTGACCCATTAATGTCTGAGATTCAAATTTTTCAACAGTATAACTGAAGGGGCAATCATAATGTGAAACAGGGGTGATCCCAAAATATCAAAGCCATCATCATTTTATTTTTACATTAATTTTATTGAAGGTACAAATATATCAAATGATAAATAAAAGTAAAACTTGAAAATTATAAGAGAATCACAGTTGCAGTGTCATTTTAGACTGTTTTGGATTGTATAAAAACCCAGACTCTCCCTGAATAATCACATGGAACAATCTGGTCTATCCCAGAATGCTCAATGAGAAGATTGATCATGCATAGATTATAAGAGGGAACCACCTGGGGTGCCATTACTTTTATCTGATCAGTGTGTTATATTCTGTGTGTGAAAACTTAGTGGATGCAGTATTTATTTATCTTAATTATAAGAAAGTATCAAGCATACATATTTTACACATTAATTGTACATAATTATATATTAAAATGACAATTAATAACTATTTATGTTTATTGTACACATAATTAATGGCAGAGTAAATTGTAATCTGAATGTATGTCACAGACTTGCTTAGTAGAATATACTATTTTATATGGCATAAGAACATATATTAAAGATTAATAGCATTCTTATTTCAGTGTTGCTTACAGGCTGTCAAGAAACCCTTAGTTAAGTCTATATATAGAAAGAAACTGCAGGAAAAATACTGATGCATTTAGAAACTAATAGACATAAACACTGATTGTTTCTTTTTGTATAATTATAAGTTTTGCTCTTTTATCTATTCTTAAAAATGGAGAAGATATCTAGTAACAATAATTATAAATAATATAAAAAAAAATATGAAAATAAAAAAAAATAAAATTTTCAAGTCTTTCTGATCATCAGTTATTTGAATAATCTTTATCTTATTATGATTAGTTACAATACCTTTATAGCCATTAATAAAAGGTATTTTATGGCAACAAGGAATTTACATTGTATTTGACTTTTCCATGTTTTCACACTTAAATTTTTTTAATTGATTCCTCCCACAAAAATGGCTTCAGAAGATTAAAGTACAAATTTATTGAAAAGGAAGTTGGCCATTGACAATGTCCATACTAAAAATTGATTCCCTGGACCAAATCTCTCCTTTCCATGCTGTTGGACAATTGTTTGCTCTGACCATGGATTAAGAAATATCCATTGGCAATCTACAGTTGGGTTGGCATCTTAGTTTGCTTTAACTGTTGATTATTGCTTTTGATGCCCATTATAAGTTAAATCATGATTATGTCTTAACATTTTCCGAGATGAAATTTAGTTAAGTACAAATATCCGAGGTCATTTCCAAGCTAAATATTGGCAAAGTGTTTCCAACAAATTTTACGTAAATTTTCTAAGTTCTTTTCCGAGCAAAAAAATGACAAAGTTCTTATTTCCAAGCTTTTTCCGAGCTGATTTTTGGCAGAGTGTTTAATTCCGAGATAGTTTCCAAGGTTTTCTTTATTTCCAAGGATTTTTATACAAAAACCTTGGATAAAGTTTCCAAGGTTTTAAAAAAAACCTCGGAATTAAGAAAAAACCTTGTAAAACTGGTTTATTTCCAAGGTTTTTGAAGCAGTTTCCATGGTTTTTTTCATAAACCTCGGAAAATCTACACCCGGGAATTGTGCAGTTAGTCTATATCTGACATTTTTAGCTCGACTTTTCTATGAAAAGGGGAGCTATCCTACTCGCCCCGGCGTCGGCGTCGGCGTTGGCGTCACACCTTGGTTAAGTTTTTCGTACCACCCCACTTTATTTCAGAAGTATTACAAGTATGGCTTTGAAACTTACCATACTTGTTCACCATCATAACCTCCATCTACAGACAAGAGTACATAACTCTGTCAAGGTTTTTGACAGAATTATGGCCTTTTTTTGACTTAGAAAGTGTATTGAGCTTGGTTAAGTTTTTTGTACCACCTCACTTTATTTCAAAACCATTGGAGGTATTGCTTTGAAACTGACCATACTTGTTTACCATCACGACCTTCATCAACAGACAAGAGGACATAACTCTGTCAAGGTTTTTGACAGAATTATGCCCCTTTTTGACTTAGAAAATACATTGAATATGGGTAAAATCCACTTATTGCCTTAACCCTTTGAGATATTGCTTTGAAACTTTTAATGCTATTTCACATCATTACCCCCATCTGTACGCAAGAGAAGGTAACTCTGTCAAGGATTTGTTTTAAAAATTAAGGCCTTTTATCGACTTAGAATCTAAAAAAGCTTGATAAAATTTATCTATTACTTGTATTATAAGGTAACTATAATACTTTCACATACAAAGTCAAATCTATATATTATGCTGATTGTACAAAAATATACTGCTTCCTTGGCATAGATTTCTTGAAAAATTATGTTATTATGTCATTTACCAAGGTGTTCTGAGTGACGTAAAAATACCTTATTCTCTCAAAGTGGGTTTAATACTATTAAATTTATTTAAGGCTCAACTCAGTTTTTTTTTCTTTCTTACCAGCCCTCTTTTGACTTAAACATTTCAAACTTTGCTGCAGTGTTCAAGGGTATCACACAATTCAGTAAAATAATTCTTCACTAAATATCTTAATGCTCATGGCCATTGTTCACTTTAAAAATACAGAGATTCTTGTATTGCCTTTTACTGCAAAAACTTTTTTTATTGGCAAGCAATAAAAAAGTCGAGCGCGCTGTCTTACGGACAGCTTTTGTTTATCTCCCTTTGATAAGTTTGTTTATTTTTACACTTTGAACTTTGTCCGGGACATAACTCTAAAAGTATAAGAGGTATCAACATGAAACTTTGTAGGTAGATAGATCTCATTGAGGTCAGACACTCACATTGATATTTCCATAGACTTACATTATAAGAAATGGTCCCTAATCCTACCTTAAAATTGAGTTTTCATGCTAAAGAGCTAATTTTTCTAGCAGAATGAAATGCCTGACACATGAAAATGTTCTTGTTATATAGGGGTAGCCGACCAAATTTTTTGCAAAATGACTTCAGAGAGGATTACCCCCCATTTCATTGAAATTTTCTGCTGATCACAGGACTGACATACACTTTTTATGAATGCAAATATCCAAGTCAAAATTATCACAGAGACTCATGAAATATTTCATTTTCTTCAGAAAACAGTGTAGTGTTACTTTTTAAATTAGTTTTATTACTTAAAAATACCCCACTTCCATCCAATCACCTCATGTATAAATTGACTCATACGGTTTTCCCTGCACTTTTTTTCAGCCAATCGCTGGCCATGTTACAATGCGATACCCTGACCTAAAGGGAATATTAAATGTTTAGTATTCTAATATCTAATAATAAATGAAGTTACATATACAATTACCAATTATATGGATGCATTTTCACCACTCTTAAGTCATTTAAAACTTTGAAATTCCCTTTTTTCTAACAAGCGCCGTTATGCCGCAATCCGGATATTCTGAAAATGAATGTTAGCATGTGATTTTCATACATAATTCATTATTCTGAAGCCAATTTTGTATCAACTTCCATAAAATCACTCAGATAGCAACACTACACTGTTCTCATTACAGAAGTGCTTCAAAATACTAATTTTCTAACAAAAGGATGTAGCAGGGAGCAATTTTATCACCCCACCCATAACAAAATAAGTGATTTTTCACCCAAATTTCAACATTTTATTACCAATAGACTTCCTGAATGAAGATTTAGCTTAGCAAACATACTTAATAACTACTGTATAGTGACCTGACTATGGATTACACGTTATTTGTACACACATAGCAACATTTTGGGTGTAACTAGGTATTTTAAAATTGCCCCTGCTGTATTTTTCTACTCCAAATATTTGCTTATATAGTCTTAAATACAAGCCTAAATGTCAATAAAATGCCAAAATTCTTTATATATATTTTGTCTCTCTCTTACATGGATATAAAAAATGCAATATATGGAAAAACCAAGTTCCTCTGGACTTAACAGCACAGTAATAGCCTAAAATTTGACTTCTCCACCCAATTTATTGGCCATTTTTGCATTCATTTGGAGCCAAATATGACAATTGAAACCTTCTTTCAGGTGTTTTACCATGTAAATCACCTCTTCAGACCAAAATGTACTTGGAATGGATAGTATTGTGTATTTTCTTCTCATTTAGGTAGCCAGACACTAGAATTTATGCACTTATCTAAGTTTCTCAATAAATAAAGGGAGGTAATTCACTAAAGTTGTGCATAATCACACCCTTTGTGTACATTTATCTACCAGAATAAGTGCTTTTTCTGTTTATAGACACATCAGAGACACTAAAGCTGTGTTATAATTGTGCCTAATATGATTGTGAAAAAGTAGATCAACTTTTACTTATCAATAAAACTTTTTCTACAAAATAATTCTACCCTTGGCCATTATGATGCTCATTTCAATTATGCATTAAACAGATATAAAGTCTAAAAACTATGGCATTATACATTGTGAGTGTGTAAATATGTATTACCAAATAGAAAACAATAAATTTTTATCACTATTTTGCATCTTAACCACATAATAAGAGGCTATTCAGAGGCTACCTAACTGAATTATGCTACATTTTTCAATGGATTTCAATTTCTAAGTATGTGTTGATATTCATGCCCTGAAACCAAGTAAATTTTAAGACAGAAGCCTTAAAATGCTATTTATTTGAAGCTTTTATGCTATCTATGCCTGTAAATGAAACACAAAACATTCTTATATGGGAAACAGACATAGAAGCAATTTATTTGTGACATTCTATGTAAATATTTGAGCAAAATGGAAAAAAATTAGTGCCGAGCGAAGAAATGTCCGCCCCTAAATAAAGTCGAAAGTTAACCGAAACAGCACCCTAGACTATTTCTAGTATTAATATATTAGTTTTGAACCTGGCAATATGCATTTGTAGTGATATACCTGCAACACCCATCAAAAGTGGCCAATGTGCTTACATCAGGTCCTGTCAAGTTATACATAAGTCTTCAAACCTGGCATGTGTATAGCCAATGTACAGCATTTCTTTGAAATCTGAAAAATATTTTTAATGACCAAGGTCTACATTATTCATCATCAACATATTACCAATTAATTATCACTCAAATTCACTGTTTAAAGAAAATACAAACCATTATTAACTTTTAAGGAACACTAATACTCTTGTTCATATGTAAACAATGCTTGTAGATTGACCCCCTTGACACATTATCTGCTGTAAACACCAACAGTTGCATTGAAATAATGAAATTTCATACCTAGACAGGCTGTATACATCCATTCTTCCAAAATATCAGCTTTTCATGGTGTATCAATGAAGACAAAGTACTACAAATGAATTATGACAGTTCCAATTTCCCTCTCTTTAGGTCAGACACTCACATTGATATTTCCATAGACTTACATTATAAGAAATGGTCCCTAATCCTACCTTAAAATTGAGTTTTCATGCTAAAGAGCTAATTTTTCTAGCAGAATGAAATGCCTGACACATGAAAATGTTCTTGTTATATAGGGGTAGCCAACCAAATTTTTTGCAAAATGACTTCAGAGAGGATTACCCCCCATTTCATTGAAATTTTCTGCTGATCACAGGACTGACATACACTTTTTATGAATGCAAATATCCAAGTCAAAATTATCACAGAGACTCATGAAATATTTCATTTTCTTCAGAAAACAGTGTAGTGTTACTTTTTAAATTAGTTTTTTTTACTTAAAAATACCCCACTTCCATCCAATCACCTCATGTATAAATTGACTCATACGGTTTTCCCTGCACTTTTTTTCAGCCAATCGCTGGCCATGTTACAATGCGATACCCTGACCTTGAGTAGGTGTGCAGTGCACAAGAACTGTAACTCTGCCTTGCCTAAATTTTGAATAATTGCCCTTTGTTTATTTTCACACTCAAACTTTGTCAGGGATATAACTCTAAAAGTATGAGAGATATCAACATGAAACTTTGTAGGTAGATAGATCTCATTGAGTAGAAGTGCATTGTAAAAGAACCATAACTCTGTCTTGCCTTATTTTGGAGTCATTGCCCTTTGTTCATTTTGACACTTTGAACTTTGACCGGGACATTACTCTTAAATCATAAGAGATATCAACATGAAACTTTGTAGGTAGATAGGTCTCATTGGGTAGAAGTGCATTGCTGAAGAACCATAACTCTGCTTGCCTTATTTTGAAGTTATTGCCCTTTGTTTATTTTTACTTTTTGACTTTTTTCCGGGATCTAACTCTAAAACTATTAGAGATATCAGCATACAACTTTGTAGGTAGATAGACCTCATTGGATAGAAGTGTAGTGCAAAAAGCCATAACTTTGCCTTGCCTAATTTTGGAGTTTTTGCCCTTTGTTTATTTTTTAATAGTTTCCTGTGTCCAAAACCTTCTTGGGGAGCATCACCCGGTTCAACCGGTTCTTGTTTAATATAATATCTATTGTTCCAGAACAGTAATTTATGATGATTTTCTGAAAAATCCTTACGCAAGACTGGATAGAAGGGAAATGGGAATGGTTTTAATACAAAGAAGTGCAATCATTGAAAATTGTCGAGATTCTTTTTAAATGAACCAGGCTTTACCGGGTTCAACTGTAGCTCCATTGTCATCCTCCGGGGCTCTGCCGGCATTCACCGGGGCTCTGCCAGCATTCACCGGCGCTCTACCATAGCTCTACCAGCTATATCATACCCCGGATCATTCTCGGTTTGTGCGGGCAGAGCTACGGTGCTTCCCCTGTGTTACCCCGGTCATTCCCAGCAGAGCTAAGGATGAAGCCGGCAAAGCTATACTTCCCAGATCATCCAGGACAACCCCGGTGATATTGAATTTTATTCCATCCGGAGTTGGAAGTGGGATGTGCCCGAATCATCCCGGACGTTGCTGGCAGAGTTACGGATGTACCCCGATTGTTCCTGGTCGTACCACGGTCGTTCCTTGATCACCCCGGACGTCTACCGGGGCTCTGCCAGGATGTAAGTGAGACTGTAGGGCAATAGTAAAATATCTACCAGTGATGTAATTTTAGCTTTGGCCCAGTGGTTAAAGAATTATTTATAGGTTGTTAAATTAATTGTCTTCTTGTTGTGTTATTGCAAGTGAAAAATTGACCACACATGACTAGCATTATAGACATATAAAAGCTGTCAAAGATAAATCATTAATCATTCATTATTGTTCAATCTTTTAATCAGATATTAATTAAAATAATGTAAAAAATGATAACCAAAATATGTGTTAAAAATTGCATAAAATCTTACCAACCAAACAAACATTAACATAAACTGATGGAATGACACACCATTTCAGCTAAATAGTGATTGCAATGTAAGAAAAGGGACCAGTGGTCATGTGGTAAAATAAATACAAGTATTGTTGTAGTTATGTTCAATACATGTAGTCTAATTTTTTTGTAGATTGAATGATTTGAAAAAGTTTAATGCAGAGGTAATGATAAAAATCACTAAAAAAATATACTTGGTTTATCTTAAAGGTATTGGAACCAGGATATCACATAGCAAGAAGGGGACCGGATCATGGAGGTTCCAGCTTCACTCATTGTCGGCACTCGACGCAGATTGGACGTCGATATGTTAACCTACGTCAGACATTAGAGGAACGAGCTCGCGTGGAACTCATGAGAGACTGTTTGTATCGGTTAAAATTATCAATCACTTTTGTGCGTGATTTACAGCAATTAGTTATGGAGGAGCATAAAATTTTATATAAAATTACGCATGATTGTGTCGATGAATTTCCCGTTAGTAAAATTTTCTGCCTTAATGCTTTATGTGAAGATTTACGAACTTTAATAGGTCATTGGAAATGTATAAAACAAAAACTGCACACAAATCGGTGGCTACAACCGGTTCTCGGTTCATTACATTTTCAGCTCGACCGTATAAAATTATCATTGATACATTTACAAAACAAAGCTATATGGTGGCTCGAAAAGTTTGTTCAGATAGGTTTACAAGTTTTTGCTCATGGAAATGTGGACGCCTTAACACATGAAATGATCTGGAATATTACGCGTGGTCTCGAAGATCTGAACCGAATTATAAATGGTTTACAACATGACAATCATTCATCTACCTCTAAAATAGGCCTAAAATCTTTTTGTACTCAACATATAAGTGCTTTAAGTCCTGATTCTACAAACTCTGTAGCCAATATCGGAGAACATGTTAAAGCTATTCCGTTTTCGAGGGTGCTAAGTATAATTGCCAATGAGAGGTCAAGATATGCAGCTCTTGAAACACACCGGTTTTTTACGACAAATCACGAATTTGTGAAACTTCTTTATTCAGGAAAATTACCGAACTTTGTTTGGACGGAGGAATCTAGTCATGTTAATGAACGAGCTGATAAAGACACATCAGATTATCATACTGCCACTGGTAGCATGACCTCTCTTAGTGCAGCTATACTAAAGGTTGGCAGTATACGCGCACCTGATTTGTCAGACTCGGAATCTCCCTTAGTGGAACTAGCTAGACGAGAACACTCCTTTGCTGAAAACTTTCTACTAATTGTGTGCAATTCGACGAACCTTTTACGGAGAAATGACCATCAGAAATCGAGGCGAGCTGTCAAGTACAGTCAGAGTATGATAAATTCGGGTAAACCTCCACGTGGCGATACACCCGTGCTTTCTAGAAGTGATTCTTTGAGGAAGTCGGTCTCCTGGGGTGATTCTGCAGACAGCTCAATAAAGTCGCAGCTTACATCAAGGTGAGAAAATTTGTCACGTTTCGTGGTTATTGCTTGTAATTCTAATTTGTTAATCCAGCCAACATACATGCATGCCTGCAACACTTTGTGATGAGGCATAAAGCTTTGCTCTTGTCTGTCTGTCCTGCTTTCAGACTGTCCTGCTGTCCGTTTGTGTAGCCGGATGTTAGTAGCATATAACTGCCAGAGTCAGTGACAGGTAGTGCACGGTGGAGCAGTAACGGTAAAGTTTGTACCTGCTGAATATCTGTATAGTTCCGGATAACATCATACTATTCTTTGAGATTTTATCAAATTATTTGTCTGACTTTGAATAAAACAGTTTTAGTTTGCTACTTTTAAGGAACATATATATAGTTCGGATTACAAAAATTTACCTTGCCACTGAAAGCAAGCTATAGTTCTGAGTGCTAAATTTGAGCAGTCTACTGTTAAGAACCTTGAGCCTAGTCAGACTTTACATGTAGATTTTCATGTAATAATATCACATTCATAGTAGCACAGTTGTGGTTTTAAGTTCATGCCATTATTGAACAGTGCCGTTTATCTTGATGCTATTTGTGTCCATGCAGTCAAGTTTCTTGTAAATTGTAACCGGAGTATCTAATGACACAGGCATGACATGGCTATATTATTTACTGTCAGAATGACTGATGTGTGCTGCTATTTTAATCCAGGGACATGACAAGGGGAAATATTTTTGTTCAAAAGGGTTCATGATGATAGTAACTTCGTGCATAAATACGAAGGTGTTGGTAGAATTATGCTGGTAGAAAAAAACTATATATTGTCACCTTAGTGAAGTAATGGGTTAAAATTCTTCATATAATTTAACATATAATTTTATAGGAATTAACCCGTTACTACTCTAAGATGATGATATGTTTTTGGTTTTTTTATGCCCCCGGGCAACCGTCCGTCCTTCCGTCTGAGGTTAACCTAGAACGGCAAGTTGGATTTTTCTTAAGTTCTACCTGTACCAATGGCTTCTAAGTTTACACACGAATCAATACAAAGTACATGATCTTGGCAAGTTACATAACTCTGGCTTTCATATTTACCAAGTTATGGCCCTTTTCAGCACTTAGAAAATGAATAATGGTTAACCTAAAACGGCAAGTTGGAAATATCTTAAGTTCTATCTATACTAATGGCTTTATAATTTCCACACTTACTTATCAATACAAAGTACATGATATTGCCAAGTTATATAACTGTGTCATCCATATTTCCCAGTTATTTCCCTTTTTTCACTTTGAAAATAGGGCCTTGTCTGGTTAACCCATTTGGCAAGTTGGATTTATCTTAAATTTCTCCTAATTGCTTAATTTCTTTAATGATATCTTTCATATTTAGTAGGTGGATACCTTTGATGGTCCCCTAATTTTTTGTGGAGAAAGCGGTCTCTAGGGTCAAGGTCAAGGTCACTGGTTTAAAAAATAAATATAAACATTTTTGCTCATACAGCCTTTATATTTTAGTTGATGTTTTAGTTTAATACAAACATGGGAGGTCCTCCTTCTTTGGGTGTAGTATGGGGTCATTTGGGTCAAGGTCAATGTTACCAATGTCAAGGTCACCAATGTTAAAATTGATTTTTACATTTTTACAGGTGTATTGACCTTATTCTATAGACAAATGTTATTTATAATTGATAGAAACATAAACTTTGATGGAGTTAGTGGTCAGTTGGGTCAAGGTCACCAGTGCTAAAAATAGATTTTTACACATTTGCTCATACAGCCTTTATTAAATGACTAAGGTATTTTATATTTGGTAGGAAGATAACTTGCATGGTCATCGTTTTGATTGGGGTAGGGATCAGTGGGTCAAGGTCACTTGTGCTAAAAATAGATTTTACACTTTTGCTCATACAGCTTTTATTTATTGACATATGTATTTCATATTTGGTAGGAAGATAACTTGCATGGTATTCTTCCTTTGGATGGAGTAAGGGGTCAGTTGGGTCAAGGTTACCAGTGCTAAAAACAGATTTTTACACTTTTGCCCATACAGCCTTTATTTATTGACAGATGTATTTCATATTTGGTAGGAAGATAACTTACATGGTTTTCTTCTTTTGGATAGATTTAGGGGTCAGTTTGGTTAAGGTAACCAGTGATAAAAATAGATTTTTACACTTTTGCCCATACAGCCTTTATTTAATGACAGATGTATTTCATATTTGGTAGGAAGATAACTTGCATGAAGTTGAATATTTTTCATCTTCACAAGTCAGAGCAATGACTTGGCAACTTATATTTTTCACAATTACAAAATGCTATGTCTTTGTCAAGCTATATTACTTGTGTTTACAATTTTTTGCAATTTTTCTGTCCTTAACTGAGTGAATGGGTAAACATTTTTTGAAATATTGCTACTGACAAGAATCTGAGCCAGGGGCATTTGTGTTTAACAAACACGTTCTTGTTTATAACTTGTTTTGAGTTAATATACACACCCAAGGGCGTAAAGCCAAGGTTTAATATAAAAAAAAAAACATTAAAGGAGTACATTGTTGGGAAAGACATTTTTAAAAAATCTCACAGTGTATGTAATTTTCATCATACATAATTATGTTTTATCAGAATTACTTTTCATCTTTTCAGTCTTTTAAAATGCTCAATGTGAAAGTCTTTCAGCTCAAGTTGTGAAATTATTATTTGGGAAATTGGGAATAACAAAACCTAGAACTATTGTCAAATTATGAATATTTATAGTATTTGGGAATTTTAGACCCTATTTTCGAAAAAATATCAGTATAGACATTTTCTGCCATAGTAAAGGGGTCTCTTTAAGGGACATGTTTAAATAAAGGAAACACATGTACACAACACTGTTAAGTGTTTATTTTTTATTAGGTACATGGATTCATATTGGAACCATTTTGGAACCAGTTTATACATGATGTTTTATGAACCATGTTGGGTACGACAGAAGTCGCTGTATTTCTCCGAGATTGGTAGTGTTTTAATGCTCAATACCACAGTGATAGCCCTTGTCAAACATATGATTCAACATGTCTGCCTCAAAGGTATGTATAGGTTTTTATCAAAACATTTAACAGATGTAACAGGATGGTAGGTGTTTATTCACCAAAGCTCACACTAAAATAGTCAGGGTATATTTTTTATTGATCAATTTTTTTCTCTCATTTCTTTAGATAGCACATGGCTTTATATATTGAAATTATGACACCATGCATTGCTTTGTATTAGGTAAAATTTATAGTGTATTTCAAATAGTTCACAATAAAATAGTCAAGGAAATTTTTTTTTCATTAAATGGTTTTTGAATGATTTTTTTCTCATTTCTTTAGATAGCACATAGCTTTTAATATGCGAATTGTGATTAGCCATCATGCTTTGCATTAAGAAAAATTTATAGTGTATCGATTTCTAATAGTTTTGTTTCTTAAAAATGAATATTTTTTTATTGTTAGTATAGATTATTAGTTTTCCTTTGTGTAAACAATGCTGTTTAAAGATATACTATGCTTATCTTCTGGTAAAATACTTTTATATCAGAAATTTAATGAAATCTAGAAAATTCTTACTGAATATCTCTTTACTGAATGAGAGAAAGTACAAAATGTTTTCTTTTGAAAGCTGCTTTCCCAATTACTGGTCAAGATTATTTTGTTTTTTATTAAAAAAAAAACTGCCAGTTCTTTTAATGACACTAAGTATTCATACTGTGTTAAATGTAGTTCATATTATCTTTTCTGTGTGTACTCTAAAGGTGTTTATTTTTAAATTACTTTTAAAGAGAGACTGTATACCAGTTATCAGTATTTTTAAATATCAAATTTTAGCATAGTATATCTTTAAAAATAAAAGAAATTTCTAGTAAAAATAAAATTTTATTTTTACAATTTGTCACACAAATAAATAGAGATTTATTATAACACTTAATTAACCTTATAGACTTCTATTCTAATGCTATGCAGAACATTTCCCATAGAAGTATGTTAATGATTAACCGACCTTTACAATGTCCTGAAATAAAACATAGGTGTTGTAATTTACTCCCAAGCTCTTACAATTTACTCCAAATTAAACTAACTCATTAGTGTCTGTATGCATGATTGGCAAAAGATCATGGCATAAAATTGAGCAAACAGTGATGTCTAATTGGCATCATAAAATAAAAAAATAGCTGTTACAATTTACTCCCAAGTAAATTTACTCATTAATTTTTGTATGCATGATGGGTAAAAGATCATAAAATTACATATACTGAACAGTGATGTCTAAATGGCATTATCATAATTGAATGAGGAATCTTATCCATTTTACTCCCATGTTATCAGCTTCAGAATATCTATGGCAAGATATTGTTTCTAGAATCAAAGTGATATATGTCTATTACCTCTATATTCTTTATGATTAAGATATTGCCTAGTCAGTCAGATGAGAAAAATGTATATTTTTGTTAAAAATAATGGTGGATTCATTTTCTGATATCTAAACTCAAATCATCTTTTACATATCATTGATAAATAATCGGTGAAAAAAATAATATCTATTTTTCTGTTAAGTTTTAAACTTTAAGAGCAAGTTATTTCAGTGTTGTAAGGAATCTTTGAGACGTATTCTAAATCACTATTGTAGTAATAGTTAGATGTATATATTTCGGTACTTATAGTGACCTTTTAGCTAGTATTATTATGTAGTATTACACGGCACGGAACTGAGGTATGACCTTACTGGCAATCATGTTTATATGGTCACAGACTTTCTAGGAATTTCTTCAGCAACATTTTATAAATACATATAATAGATATAATTTTTTAAAGAAACTACATACTTTTTTCCATATTCATTTTGTACATTTACTTTACATTTATTTAGATGTTATAGGTACTTGTACATATGCATTATTATCAATTATTGCTATGTGCAATATGTTTGAATAATCAACCTGGTTTAACCAAGGTTTTATTACAATTTTCTTGAAACAGTCAACTTGTAAGTTTATATACTTATGTCAATTCCTCAAAACTTGACTTGTGTATTGTGAAGTAAAATAAATTTATACATTAATTTTATAAAAGGTGAGACATTTATATCAACAATTTTTATAAAAAAATTATATTCTTTGTTCAAGCAGAAGTAGCCAATCATTTGTTGGAATAACACTTCTTACTTTAAAAAGAGCCAGAAATTGAAGAATATATTTAAACAGTAGACTTTCCAAATGATATATGAAAAGACTTGTGCCTTTCAATACTGGATAACTTTGTTTTATATATTTTCACAACTTATCAGTTCCATGTAGTTTTCCCATGTAGATTGATCACATTATTGTATTACTATTTCTGTTCTTGCATGATCAGTATCACCACCTTTAGACAAGGATTCAACTAGCCAATCAGGTAGCCTTTTACATTTTCATCACTGTGTGTTGTTATTGTTATCCAATCAAAGTGCATGTTACATTTCCCACTTGTTATTACTGTTATCCTATCAGAGTGCTTGTTAGATTTCACTTAGTAATTCCTATTTTTTTTAATAAACAATTGTTTTTACATATATTTGAAATATTTCAGTTGATACAAAAATGTATGCTTGAAAACTGACGGTAAACATTGATTTCTTAATATATTTTACTTCAAATAAACTGACTTGTAATTTTCCCCAAAATTACATCCTTTAAGAGGCGAAGACTTACGATTTCAAGGCTAAATCGAGATGCCTGTCTTAAAGGCAATCGGGCTTATAGGTGGGTAAATACGATAAGGGGTTTTGTTTTGCAGAATATGTACAAAAATCACAGTGCTGAAGTTTTAGCAGTTTTAGCATCTGACTAACAATGCTGGGCAGGGCCTGTGTCAGGGATTTGAAAATCCTAAAGGCAGTCTCGACTATTCTTGAGAAGTCAGAAACTATGGTTATAGTCGACTAGTGCAGTTCTTTTGTATGAAAGACGTTACAGAAACAGCTTTCTAAAGTAATTCCAATCCTGTAATTAGTTGTCTTGGAAATTGTTAAATGATTGCAACTGAAATGTTTCAATAATTGTTGTATTTTATGGATGTTTTGAATTTAAATGTTACTTTATCGTTCTGCATGTTCTGTTTATAAATGTATATGAATTTCATTTCAGTTGTTTTGAAAGCATGTGTTGAGATTATTTAGAAAATATATGAAAACAGTACATTATGAATTTCTGAATTTCTGCAAGCATATCTAAGGGAAACCACCTTGATTTATGTTATAAATTTTATTACCTAATAAACTTGGAAATATCCATTGGCAACTTTGTTTATGTGATGTCAGTATCAAAATATTAAAACTCACTCAGAGCTGATCAGCCAGCAGCTTAAACTGCAGGAATGTTGTAAAATCAGTTGTTTTTGTGAGGCCAAAATTTCACATAATTAATCAACATTTTGGACCAATAATTTATTGACAAGGTTATATATGACAACTTTTTTACTTCCAGTTCTGTTAAATAATGATATGGTATTAAGATACTTAAATAATAATTTTCTTCTTTTTTTGCGGGAAATCTACAATTAACAAAAATTTAAGTTCCTTGCAAAATTTTCTCCTTTTATTGTATAGAGACTGCCAAGGCTTTATAACTGGAGGCATGGGCTACTTGCCACCACTGCTTCATAGCCTTTTGGAAAGTTTACCTTAATTTTTATATCTACAACAACTGTGTATTAAAATAGATACTTTTAACTTGAAATTGGCACTTGATAAATTTTAATGATCTGATAAAGTAAAGTAGAATCTATAATGTATCTTAGAATATGGCAAAGTTTCCTGGAAGAAAACAATTTAGAAAACATGTGCTTCAAAGAGCATAATTGTTAATTGATGTAGCATATTGAGAAAGTGCATTTTGGAATTCAATACTTAAAGAGATAGGTAAATTATTCTGCAGATATAATTGTACAGGCATTAATCTTTTAAATCATCACAAACATTTTCTGATTTTGTAAATTGAAGGTCAAGGTTTTTGAAACTTGTCAGTAAATATCTAAGCTCTGTGTTAATAGTGACTTCTTTAATAGATTTCTTTACATTAAAACAAATTTAATATTGATGATAATTGCAACCCTTATTTGTAGTTAATTGCTAGCATATCTTTAATTGACCCAATTGTAAATATGGGTCCATAACCTGAAATTCTGCCTTATTATTATTAGTTATAAAGACTTATGACAGGGTAAAAACAGTGTATAAACAGGCATATGTAAGCTTATATTAGCCTAGCTGCTACATGTAGGCATAAGGGTTATATAGCGTACTGGCCTTTATATTTGGCCATATAACCTGCCGAAAGTCTGTGCACAAATTTATAATACTGCACAATTTCACTCTTTAAATGAAATTATAAAGAATTTAAAGTGAATTGATCTATCATGGAAGGTGTGTAAAACAATAAATGATAATATGTTGATAATGTTAAGTATTAGACATAACAACAAAGCACAAACTAAATATATATGACTGTTGTTAGCAAGTATGAGATACAACTGATCTGAATTATTACATATATTTATAATTAGCAGATGATATGAATTGTTCTGTAACAAAATATTATTATTCATCATATAAATGTTCATACTAAATCACTTAATCAACATTTATCTTTCACTTAATAGTTATCATGAGAATATCCACAATGATATATTAAATTTCTATTATTTTTATCAACAACATACATGTACTGCATTGCAGACCCAATCCACTTTAATAAATTTGTTGCTGCCATTATAAGATAAGTAATATAATTGTCATGATTGTACTGTGAAAATATAGGTTACAGACATGCAATAATTATATAGTAATGTTCATTTACCCTTAACCTGCTGGACTTAAAATGATATTAGACTTTGCCACTAGTAAATGGCCAGCTAGGTCAGTCTGCACATCCAGGTAGGCTGACCAGGCTCTATACTGTTGGCTGACCAATTTCAAATTTTCACTTTGATATTCCCAAACATTGTTTATGGAAAGATAGCTAGAGCCAGGCCAGCCTGCACATCCGTCTAGTCTGACCAGGCTCTATTATTGGTGACTTATTTCAAATTTTTATTTTGTAATCCCAAAATATTGTTAATGGAAAGGGCCAAAACTAAAAAGCTAGATGAGCCAATTCATGAAATCCAGCAAGTTAACGGTTAAATTAGATAACTTATGATACCACATAATATATTTTCATATTAATGACCATTGTAACATTTTAACCGTATTGTTGTTTGTCTTGCATGAACTCTGTGTGTGCATGTGTGAATAAACACCATTATGTTGTTTTAGGACCCCCAAATATGTTGCGTCACCCCCATTGAACCCAAAGTATCCCGACATAGGTGTTCCAATAATCCTACCTGATCCTTTCCCAGGTTTGTACAAACTGTGTGAATGCTAGGTGTTATTGGCATTTAGTGATTGCTAATTTCTTTGCATGCTTTTTGCATTTATAAGGACTTGCCTAAATGCTACAAGTAGGACTTGCCTTCGCTACAAGTAGGACTTGCCTAAATGCTACAAGTATAGAATCAGGCCATCCTGCACATCTCTACAGTCTGGCTAGATTCTATACTGTGTATAGCTCACTTTGGACATTTTTGATATTGAAAGTTCATAAAAGATATAAGTGGACAGGTCAGATCAAATGCATGGCAAAATCCATTATATAGTACAAGTTTTAAAAGTCCAAATTTGCTGTGAATTGATGTGATATAAACTGCTTACTGGTAACCTTTGTAGTTTAAAAGTGATCATGATAAATGTTCAACTTGTGATTCCAGGAAACCAAGAAATAATTGACAAAATGTTGAAATGCTTCTCTAAAGATTTTCTTTTCAATTAAACTGAAGAAACCTTGTTATCCTTGCTACTTATAAGCTCAAGCTTGCTGCATAGTTATCTGATGAAATGCTAATTCTTATTTATGGATCTTAATAAGTTCTGATCAAACTTACCTCTATTTTTACACCATGAAACACATAATGAATTATGCCCTAACACTTACTTCTTGTTGTTACAGTAACCAATTAAGTCTTGGTTACCTAGGCCAAACATTGTACTGAGTCTTGGTACCAAGCTCTAGGTAAAACAATATTGTAGTGTATAATTTTTTTCCTGATTCTATAAGTAACTGATTCCAATCTTTGCTGTAAAGTTTAAATGCCTTTTACATGTTAACCATATTTCTTTTAACCATGGTAACATATTGCTAGCTCTATATATAGCATATATTTACAAGGAAAACAAGGTCATAGAAGAGTTATCATTTTGAATGCTGAGCCAGGGCATGAAATGGACGGCTTACTTTTTGTAGTTATTTGATTTATTGCTAAGACTTCTTGCCAAAAGTAAATTAGCTTTAAAGTAAACTGGCTGATTGATTGGCCTTGTGAAATGGTGAAACTTTATTTTTGGCATGTAATTACTTTTATAAAAGCTGAACTTGGATTTTTAGCTCAACTTTTTGAAGAATAGGAAGAGCTGCTGTAGGTGTCTTGAGCATCACACTTTGGTTAAGTTTTTGTGTGCAGGTTGGTATCTCCAATCTGAAAGGAATGGGTTGAAACTTCAGGTATTATTTAAAGCATGAATAGGAGGTCACTGACCAAGGCCCACAACATGGATTTTGACAGAATTATGCTCCCTTTTGAACTTAAAAAATTCTACATTGTCCAGACTCTGTTTTACCATCAAGCAATGACAATGCTCAGGCATGTTGTCCTAATGACAGGTCTTGTAATTAAAAGTACATGCATTTGGTGTGCTTTGAAAGTGAATTGCTTTGGTCTTTTGGGACAAGCTTTGCTGTGTATATAGTCTTTACATTGTACTGTAAACTGTAATACTATAGGTCAAGCTTTGTACTGTGTATTTCCTGTGTTTATTGCTAAACTTTTCATGTGAATTGTAGTGCTTGAGTGATGGTTATGATATATCACAGGAGCTTGACATTCTATCAATAATTGAAAAATATTCAAATAAACAAGAAATATATTGAAACACTCACAGCTTTATAATATTTATAGTATAGAGGGGTATATTTGCCATTATTTCTTAATTATTTGCTTATATTTTTCTATTATTGATAGAATGTCAAGTTCCTGTGGATATATATACTACTAGTAGTACATGTATAGTAGTGCTATATTTAAAGATATTTTACCAGCATATCCTGCTTGAAGCCAAATAAGGATGATTAAATAAGCCTTTATTACTGGAGTTTAGAGCCAGGCCTGTATGCATGTTTATGGGGTCTGACCAGGCTCTATACTGTTGGGTGACTAACTTTCGAAATTTCATCTTCTATATCCTTTGATTATAAACAGTTTCAAAAATGGAAGGCGGAATATAATAATAAATTACAAGTACAAGAAATTCAACAGCTTTA